TTCTCCAGACCAAATTTCATGTTTTGTCAGGGAGAATGATTGCACAGTATGTAACATTTTCTTCAATCTCTTAACTCTTCGAATATAGTTTCAAATCATCCATGTACAGCATCTGATTGATTTTCTTGCTTCCTGGCGTTAATTCGAATCCTTGATCTTCTTCACATTCAGCAGTGGCGACGGTGAATCCCCCTGAAACATTTTTAATATTATTATTATTATTAGTATTAATATTATTAAAATATATTTTAAACAAAACAAAATAAAATAAATAAAATTACAACGAACGTTTTTTTTCTCTCTCTCTATCTCACAAGTATGTAATAATAGTAATAACAATAATAAACGCGCGTGTGTATAGGTTATCACAATAAGGTTGAAAAGGACCAAATAATGATAATGATAATAATAGTAATAATAATAATTAAATTTAAGATTACGTAAAAATAATTAATGATCGATTGTTACACGTTAAACGATTATGTAAATAAATGAAAAACTTTAAAAAAAAAAAATTGTCGCTTTGTAAAAGAAATTATTTAAATTGTAACGGTAAAAATAAAATGATAATATTATCTGTTATCACTATTACTATTACTGCAATTACCACCACCACCACCACCGCTACCACTATTACTACTATCACTACCACGTGTAAATATGTGTAAATGAATACGTATCAATAAATAAATAAAAATCGATTGATAACTAAAAATTTAATATTATTATACGTTTTTTTTTTTTTAATTTGGAAAAACGAATCTTTTTTTACGTTTCGATATATCGAAATTTTTACAAATCGATAAAGAAATAATTCGAGATATTTTTTAATAAAATGACGTTTTAGTGCCTGCCACCATTAAGACAAAAATTTTTTTTAAAAATTTGGTTATCAAAACATAAAATTTATAATTTTTTTTTCTTTCAAAAAATTAATTTGATTTTTAGCATTTTGAAAAGTATAAAAATCTTACGCCACGATTCATATGAAAAAAATAAAAATAAAACGTGGCACTAATTTATTCCGATTAGAAAATTTTTTTTTTTTTTATTGTTTTTATGAACTCGATATTATTTACTTCAAGAAAAATCCGACGAAAACGTTTTCAAAAAAAAAAAAACTAAATGAAAGTCATTTGTAAAAAAAAAATTATAAACATTTTATAGCGCTATAAAAAAAAAATAGTAGTGATAATAATAATAATGGTCAATGAAGCGAAAACAAAATTTAATTTCTTTTTTTTTTTTTTCGTTTGCATTCGCTTTGAAAAAATATTATAATAATAATGATGATGATGTGATAATATTTAAAAGTGATAAAAATCAAATAAGAAAATTTAAAAAAAAAAAAAAAGTCATAGAGTAAGATAAACAAACAAACAACAACAAAAAAATTAAACAGGAAATGAAAGGAAAAAAAAAAAAAATAGAATAAAAAACCTTAGGAAAGGGAAAGTGGGAGACGGGGGTGGGTAAGGGGACTCTCCATTTTATTCTTTTGTTATTATCGTCCAGGAAAAATCAATTTTTCGTTTTTTCCCCTCCTTTTCTTTTACTACCTCCTCTCTTTTTTTTTTTTATTCGATAATAGCAACAGAAAAAAATTTTTTTTAATTTCCTGCCCCTCCCCCCTTCCTCCCGGTAATATTTAAAAAGTTTTTCTTTTTGATTCGTTTTCGAAAAGAAAAAAAAAATTTTTTTATCGATACCTAAATAAATGAAATTGATTAGTTTAATGCTCTCTAATAATTATTGGACGATAATTTTTTTTTTCCAAAAATGTTTTTTTGTTCTTATCAGGAGATGGTCTTATCAGATTGGGATTTTAAAAAAAACCTTTGTTATGCGGCACCGTAAAAAAAAAATGTTTTATTTAAACAAAATAATAATAATAATACTAATATTAAATGGGTTTTTTTTTTCTCTCCAGGTAAGAAAAAGTAATTTTTTTTTTTTTTTTGGAGAATTCGTACGTGTTTACGTTTGTTTATGACCGTTTGTTTGTTTCTTTTAAGAAAAGATGTAATCAAGAAAATGGTTTTCATATTTTTAAGTTTTTTGTCTTTTTTTTTTCCTCTTTTTTTGACTACTACTTAGGCCCTTACGATGGGGGGAAGGAGTGTGGGAGTTTTTGGTACTTTATGTTGTAATAAAAATGATGCACGGTAAGTTCCCGAGGGTTTGCGGGATTTCGTTTGTGTACGTGCAATATGAAATGTTTTTTGCAAAAAAAAAAAAAAATTGTTTCCATCGTCGGAATTCAATTTTGCGTGTGTGTGTTTTAAAGAATTCTATGCTGGAAAAAATTCTGGAATATTTTGCTGATAACAATTTTTGTTTAAGCATCATTCTATTAAAAGATTATTAGAATCGTTTCGCGTCTTTTGTTTTATTACGTAAACAAATTTTTCGTTTTTTTTTTTTTTTTATTTTAAATAATTAGAAAGTTACAAAGGTGCCAGGCCGTCCTGTCTGTCGTTTGTCGTTTGTTTTTCTTGTTTGCATTTTCGTGTTTTTTTATTATAACAATAAAAAAAAAAATTTTATTTTTTTTTATTTAAAAGTTTTTTTTTTTTTTTTTTTTTTTTTCATTCTACCGTGACTTTTGTCAATTACGTTTTATTCGATTATATTAAAATAATAATAATAATAATAATAATAATAATAATAATAATAATAATAATAATAATTTTTTCGTCTTTGTCGTTTGTTTGTTGTTTTTAATTTTTGATTATCGCCTGTTGATAATAATTTCGTTTATGTTACCTAAACAAACCTAAAACTTTTCTTTTTCTTTTTAAATAAATCTCTATTAAAATTCACCGTTAAAAAAAAAATTACGTCATCAATATGGCGAATAGACGAAAAAGAATATTTTTATTAATATGATAAATTTAATTTATTTAGTGCCCCGTTTGTTTTTTTTTTTAATGATGATACGAATAACGATTTTACATACATCGATTTGTTTGTTTGTTTTTTTTTTCTTTTTTATTCTTTTTAAACAAAGGAAAACAATGGAACCGGAATTTTATTTGATCGTAATTGAATAAACTTTATCGCGAATCCTCTCTTTATCAATTCCCACCCTTGACATTCCATTTACCCATTTTTTCAATCACATAATAAGGAAGGGGGTTAAATCGCACCCTTATTTTATGTCATTCCTTACCACACATAAGAGTGAATACGTTTTAATAATCAAAATTCTTGTCGTTCATTTCATTTTTTTTTTTTTTTAGATCAATGCCCCCCAAGATTTGTTTAATGAACCCTAAATGGAATTTAATAATAATTAATTATTACGTAATTTTTATTACTTATTACTTTCCAGCATAGCATTTTTTTAAAAAATTCTGCGCGTATCTTCCTTAAAAGAGGAAAATGTATTGTACTCTGGAAAAAGAATTTTCCTTTCTTTTTTTTTTTTTTGGAAAACTTAAATTTTCCTGTTTATTTACTTTTTTTTTTATTATGTTTATTAATCAAAAACGCGTTACGCCCAATAATCGCCTCTTTTATTTTTTATTTTTTTTGGAGAGTAGGAAAAATGGAAATGAAAAAAAAAATTTTTTTAAAGAAAACAGTTCACACGCACTCCCCACCCCCGCCCTCCCTCCCATATACGCACTCACGCATTCAATAAATGAGAAAACTTTTTTTTTTTTTTTGGAAAACATTAAAAATAAGTTACAGTAAATTTTTCCTCATTTTTTTTTTTTTTTTTTTTAGTAATATGATGAAATAATATTTTAATATTATAAAATTTTAAAATTAAGATTGATTACGTGAAGAGGAAAAAAGAGGAAGAGAGAGAGAGAGAGAGAGAGAAAAAAAGTATTAGGAAAATAAACAACTCCCGGAGTGAATTTAAGCTTGAAGATATGAAAAATGCGGTTTTAAGTTTTTAAACTTTATTAAAAAAATGGGGAGCTGTGGGGTTGTCAAACAACGATCACGTATACAACATAAAGACACCCAATTATTATTATTATTACTATCATTATTATTAATATTATTTTCGCATATGGAAAATTAATAATTTTCATATCGTTATCGAATAAGAAAGTAATATTAAAACAACAACCGAAAGATTTTTTTTCGGAAAAAATAAAATCTTTTTGTTTTTCTTAAAACCGGAAATAGTTAATCGACATAATTAACAATAAATAAAAGATTTAAATTTTTTTTTACTCTTATCGTCGTTTGTTTTTCTTTTCATAAAAAAAAAAAATTAAATGGGTCATAAAATAAAATAAGTGAATTCGCAAGAAAAAAAAAAAGGTACGAGAAAACGAAAACATGGCCAACGGCAAAAAGGTTAAGATAAAAAAAGAAAAAAAAAGGGGAGGAAGGAAGGAGGGAGGGAGGAGTTATAAATTTTCCAAAAAATTACTCTCGAATTTTCCAACAACTCTGTGTGTAAATGGCGTAAAACGTAAAAAAAAAAAAAAAAAAAAGAAAATTTTTTTCTCCAATTTTTAAAGAGAATAAAAAGAAAAAAAAAAGAAAATCTACCTTAGGTTAAGCTTTTCATTAAAATCTTTTTTCTCTAAGTCTTATAAAAAATGGCAAATGGCTTTCTTTTACGCAACGAAAGAAATTTTCCGTTTGTCGTATTACGTAATTATTAATAAATATTATTTATTTTAATAATAACGTAAAAATTTGTTTTTCTTTCCTCCCCCCTCCTCCTCCCCACGCACGTGCAGTAAATTTCACTCTCTTATTTTTTCACGCAAGCCAAATTTTTTTTTTTTGCTTTTCTTATTCTATTGTGGCGTCATTAATTAATCAAAAAAAAAAAAAGCGGAAGGAAATTAATTTTTGTTTGTTTGTTTGTGTGTGCGAAGAGAAAAACTCAAAAGACAGAAAAGATTTCAAGAATTTCAAAATCAACCATTCCTCTTCTTACTCCGACAGACTAATTTCACAAAAAAAAAAAAGAAAAGAAAATTTTTTTTACCTTAAAATCAATTTGTTGTTGAAAAGAATAAAATGGCTGACGTTTTCCTTGCCGACTCAAGACTGATCACATTACTCGGATTTAAATTTACCATTACTGAATTACAAAACCTAGAAAAAAAAAGAAAATTATTTAAAAACTTTTCGAACAAGACTTATTTACATGTTACCACCAAATGGGGGAAAAAAAACGAAAGAAAAATTACACAAAAAAGTTTCAAATACGGTATGGAAAAAGTGAAAGATGATCGGGATGAAAAAAAAGAAGAAGAATCGGCGTGGAGGTATTAGGCTAAAGTAACTAACCTTAAGAGGAAGAGATGAAGAAGCTGAGGGTAAGAAAAAAAAAAAAAGGGAGAAAGTGAATCAATGACGTTTGCCAAGGTAGGGTGACGTAATTTATGATTTCATCTTTTACTAGAATTTTTTTTAAAGAGAAAAAGGAGAAAGCGGAGGTGGAAGAGGGGGCACGGCAGAGGTATAAAACCACCGTGCACGATCCATCATCGGTGGTTTTTGTATTTTTTTCATTTAAAAAAAAAAAAAAGAAGGAAAGTCGAGATCTCGTGAAAAGAAATTGTTTTTTTTTTTTTTTTTTAACATTTACGCACACGCAACAACCATCACCACCACCGCCGATTCTTTATCTTTTTCTTCTTCTTCATGGCGGCGGTAACGAACCCTTTTCTTTTGAAAATTTTCGTTAAATGTAAATAAAAGTTATTGAAACTTTTTAAGCGGATTATACATTATGACCATTTAAAAAGGTTTCATAATTAAAAGTTGAAAACAATAACAACATTATCAGAAGATTTTGACCGTTTTCTTATAGTAATAATAATAATAATAATAATAATAATAATAATAATAATAATAATAATAATAATAATAATAATAATGATAATAATAATAATAATAATAATAATAATAATTATTATTATTATTATTATTATTATTATTATTATATTAATGAATAAAATTTAAAAAAAAAAAAAAAAAAAAAATTTTGCCAAGAGAGAGAGAGAGAGAAAAGAGACAAAAAAGTTAGTGTTGGATAAGAAGAAAAGAAAAAGGAGAGCCGACAACAGAGGGACCAAAGGACAAGAAGGGTAAAAACAAATTTTTTTTTTTTTAAATGTTTTAAAACTTTACGCGCTCCCCCCCTCCGTTTTAAATTTTTGAAAATTTTCATTTCATTTTATTCGTGAACTTGAAAAAAAAAATAAAAAAAGTTTTCCGTCACGACCCTTTTTCCTTTTTTTCTTTTTTTTTAATTGTTTATTTATTTTTTTAATAAGTTATAAAAATTTTAAATAAAAATCGCGTGTTGTCGATATTATTTTTATGGGGAGTCCAAACCATCCCCCCCCGATATAAGACACGAATCGTATACACACACACAACGACCTTGAACTACATAAATCATTTTTTTTAAAATCGTCTGTTCTCGTTCGAAACGATTTTTTTTAAATTTTTAAAATCAAAAAAATTTTATTTTTGAGGAGAGAGAGAGTTTGGGGGGGGGGTTAAAAGGATGAAAATTATTTAAAAAATTTAAAAATATAAAAATAAAATTTGGTGTTTTTGTTTCCCGAGTGTTGTCGCTACGTAAACAACCCTCTGGTTAAAAAAAAAAATAATGCAAGGCTAAATTCTCTCGAGAAGAAGAAGAAGCAGAAGAAAGGAAAATGGGAAAAAGGATGGATGAAAGGATAAAAGAAGGGAAAAATGAAGAGAAAAGGATGTGGAAAAAAAAGGATAAAATGAAAAAGGTTCCCTGACAGGAATTCAATTGCAGTTTATGCCCGAGGTTGTATTGGCTTATTTCGGTTCCCTTTATACAAACAAACACAAAGATTTACGTATATGAATAAAATGAATGAGGGGGGCGAGGGGAGAGCAGGTGAGTGGGGGGAGTAAAAAACGTTGTTTTTAAATGAAAAAAATTCTTCTGGTTCTTTAAATTTTTTTTTTTTTTCCTTCTTCTGCTTATTTTTCTTAACACCTTTTTTATTATTATCATTATTATTATTACGGTTGAATATGAAAAATTGATTTAATAATTTTATTCTTTTGGGATTTCTACCTCTCTCTCTCTTTCCTTAATTTTTTTTTTCTTTTCTTTTTTAACGACTTTAAAAAAAAAGAAAAAGGTGTGACATTTTAACGTGATGAAAGAAGAGAGAGAGAGAAAGAAAAAAATTGGATGAGTTACAAAATTTAATAACAACGCAGTCGCGGTTAAAAAGCGAAGAAAAACGAAAAAAAAAATCTAAAATTAATATTTAAAAAAAAAAAAGAAAAAAAAATGAAAATTAGTCGGTTACCGTGTGCGGTTTGCTATGGTTTATTTAAACTATCGCAAAAGCAAAGAAAGACCTTTCGATTAAATTAGATTACATAAGTAATTAAATATTAATTTATTTAAATTAATTTCTTAATTTAAATAAATATTTAACTTTTTTTTTCTTTCTTTTTATTTTTTTTCTCTCCCTTCCTCCATCTTTTTTTTTTTGTTGTCTTCCCTTCATTCAATTCCGAGTCCCCGTATTAATTATTCAATTTTATTTATATTTATATAAATATTTAAAATTCTGGTGTTTAACTAATAGATCAACGTAAACGCTAGCAAATATAAAAATTTCCTCCATTTAAAAAAAAAAAAAAAAAAAAAAAAAAAAAAAAAAAACCAAATTCTGCGTTTTTAACCAGGTTTGGTTAAGTAAATGAAAAGTTTTGTTTTGATTAATGCGACATCTATCGGATTTTTTAAAAACTTTTCACTTCAAAAAAAAAAATTTTTTTTTAAATTCTCGCGTAAAATTTTTTTTTTCTGTTGTTTGTTTGTTTGTTTTTTAATTTTATTACATATAAAATAAAAAAAGAATTTTTTAAAAATCAAAACAAAATGGCGGAACATAATATAAACCGCCATATTTTCTAAGTAGGTCTGAAATTAGTAGCTCCAAGGTATTTGTTTGATGTTACAGACAGAGATTTTATTAATTTTAACTTTGTAATATTATCTGACGTTTGTGAATTTATTAAAATTTGCTCCTGTTCTGATAACGTCATAAAATGTCGAAAAAAATGAATATTCACCAACCCCCCCCCAAAAAAAAAAAATTTCGTTCTTTTTAGTATATCAAACGCGACGCGAAATTATAGTGTGTGTGTGTGTGTGTGTGTGTGCGTGTGCCTGGGTGTGTGTGTGTGTGTGTGTGTGTGCGTGTGCCTGGGTGTGTGTGTGTGTGTGTGTGTGTGCGTGTGCCTGGGTGTGTGTGTGTGTGTGTGTGTGTGTGCGTGTGCCTGGGTGTGTGTGTGTGTACGATACACATGTTAAAATTTTAATAATTTTCAAACCAAAGGTGATGATTATGACGATGACGATGACGAAGCTGAACCGCAACAAATTTAATTTAAAATAAAATTAACCGAACTAAAGCCAAATATTTTTCACTAATTTTAAACGTTTATAATTATAAAAAAAAGAAAATTTTTTACTCGAACGTGACGTCATTTTTTATAAAGATTAAATTTTTTTTCTTTCTTTTTTTTTTTGGGGGGGGGGAGGAAGTAGGAAAGGGAAAAGGACGACGAAGACGACGACTAATGGAAAAAAATGGGGAGAAAAAAGAAATTAAAATTTCTTTTTTTTTTCATCATCATCATTATTATTATTATTATTATTATTATTATTATTATTTTCACTCATAATCGCGACAATTTGTCTTAATGTTTATTGGAACTTTTTCAACATTTATTCCAGGTTTCTACCCGCTCATCCCTAAGGGGAATAAATGCTTGAATATCAGTGATGCTGCATGCCTGATGAATAGATTTCATCTTGTTATAACCTAACAACAATTCTTATGAGTCTCACTGAGACCATCTTGGTTCTGCCTTACCTTGTTCTCATTTTGCTATATCACAATAATCAATCAGTTATCATATGACTTTTTCCTCAAAACTACTTCAATACTTAATTTTCCTACCATTTCCCCCTTTTCATAATTTTCCCTCATGCATTCCATCCTTAATGTATGCACAGTACACATATACAATTACAGTATGCAAATTACAATTTTGTACCCATATAAACTTAAGTAATCTGAAGGCAGTTCAGAATTTTTCTAATCTTAATTGAAATTAAAGAGAATTTTAAACTAAACATAAGGGAAAATATGTTATAATGAAACAAACCAACTTAATAAAAGGGTTAAAGTAATGTACAATCAATGGATTCACACTTAAAATGAGGATTACAAAGATTTAACATCCACTTGATACAAGAAATTAATTAATACCAAGTATTTTTATCGAACTAACTTTATTTTCATTTAGTATGATAAGAGTATTTAGTTCGACTACTTATAATCAGCTCAAGAGATGTACAATTATTAAATGGAGTCTGTTGTGCCTTTTCACTATTCCTTGTATTAATTTTTCCTGATTTTGATACAGACTTATAGGGAGTATTACACTATCTCTATGATAAACTATGTTGTAATGAAATAAACTAACTCAAGAAAAGGTTTAAAACAACCTACAATCAATAAATTAACCCTTAAAGATTAGAGTATTGAAATTTGTACACCAAGTTAATATATCAAATTAATCATTATTAATAAATATTTTTATTAAATTACTTCAACATCTTGTTTTTTATGATGAGATGAAAAAGACATTTGTTAAATTACTTACAATTAACCAAATAAATGTAAAATTTTCAAACTGTTTTTGGAAAATTTGCATCATTTTTATGTTAACCTAACATTTTTGCAAGTGAAATTCAAGATTTAAAATGAGGTACTTACCAGTAACAATCAAATATACTAAGGCATCTTCTAAGGGTTTTTTTTATTACCCACGCTTCCTTTTGTCACATGGAACGTCGACTATTTGCAGATGTAAATTTGAAATAATTTAGTTATTACTAAATAATGTAAAAAACTAATTATATAATAATAAACTAGACTAAATAACAAAACTTTTGATATATAATTTATAACTAAATTTTTAAAAAAAACTATTAAAATTAATAAAAATTAGTCGACATGATGCAAACGCATGTCAACCATTCCATTTCCAGCGCCATCTTTGTTCTCAACTCCATCCAACGCCATCTGTGTTTATAATATTATGAATTCTTCATTATCTTTTTTCATTTTGACTAAAACAAATAAATCCTTAAATTCTTGTTTATTAAATTTTATAACTGAAGGGCTTAAAAAGAAAAACTAAAACTAAAAATTTCGGGGATAATGGGGGAGGGGGAAAGGGGGCAAAAGAAAGGATTTGAAATAAATTAAAAAAAAAAAAAATCGAAAAATTTCAAAATAAAACAGGATTAATAATAATAATATATTTTTCAATTTTGTGCAACAGTTTTTCCTTTTCTCTTTCTTCTCTCTCTTTCTTTATGTTTTCTCATCATGAGCGTAACAAGAAACAAATGAGTTGTAATTAATATCGTGGTGGTCAAAGAATTTAAGGGTAGAGCTCGAAGAGACGAACGATGACAGGAGAGGATGCTACGTGGGAGCCCAAACGGGGAGGATAGGGGAGCTTTAAAAATGGAAGAAAAGTGAGGAGGAGGGGAGGGGAAGGGTAGAGAGTTTAATGACGTAATAAACGCTACCGTAGGAGGTTTTTCTCATTTTTCTACCATTTCCACTCACTTACTTACCCCTTCTGTTTATGTTTTTCAATTTTTACTCTTTAATTAGTAAAAGCTTTTGTTGGTCGGTTTGTTATGAAAACCTTTTTTTTTCTTTCTCTCTTCCTAAACCGTTTTCTCAACCCCTTTTTTTTTTTTTGTTAAAAATTACTTTATTATTTAAAATTGTTTTTGAGGGTTGAAAGTGAATGAATATTATACGGTAGATTTATTTTTTGTACAGGAGAAAAAAAAAACAACAAAAACAACAACAAAATTACAACGATTTTGTTTTTTTTTTTTAAATGGGTTATAAACAAAATCCTAAAAAACGTATTTCTTCTTCTTTCTCTCTCTCTCTCTCTCTCTCTCTCTCTCTCTCTCTCTCTCTTACACGTGTATTTTGTAATTTTACTTCTCATTCTTACCCTTTTTCTTTCTCTCCCTCTCCCTATAAAATCAAAATAAAAACAAACAAACAAAAAAAAAAAATTGATGACTTTGAAAAAAAAAAAAAGTTTAATTATCGAAAGGATGATTTTTGACTTTTCCTCGAGTAAAAAAAAAAGGAAAAATTCAAAGGAAAAAAAATAAATAAATTATTAATTTTTTCAAGCGAGTTAATATGGTAGAAGTTTTTTTTGACATTTCATCATCTGTTGATAAAAAAAAAAAAAGAAAAATTTTTTTTTTAATAAATAAATCAAAGGAAAAAAAATTTTTTTCCTTTGTTTTCTTTTTTGTCGCAATAAAATTTTTTTTTTACTACTACTACTATTACTACTACTTTAAACAAGTGTTTTACGTACTTGACAATTGTTTTTTTACCTTTTTTTTTTGTTATAAACAATATAAAATTATCAAAGGAAGGATTCTTTAACAACGTAAAGCCCCCAAGAGACTCGTTTTCCTTTTGATGAGGTTATTAAACAACATTACAATGCATTTTTTTTTTTTTATAACGTCGCTCTCGTTTTTTTTTTTTTTTTTACTTCTTTTCCTTTGTTTCCTTTTCGAATTCTTTGTCTTTAACCGCTTCAAGTATTTTCTTATTACTTTTTTTTTAAAATAAATTTTTTTTCTTCTTTTTCTTTTTTTACGTTTGTTTGTTTAGCAATAATAATAATAATTTAACCGCTGTAATAATTTAATTTAATTTTTTTTAAAATCACTTTCTTTTATTTGTCTTTCCTGGAAAAACGAAAACGTTTAAATTTATTCCAAAAATTTGTAAAATAAAAAGAGATAGAGAGAGAGAAAGAGTGAGAGAAATTTAATAGACTAATAACAATAATAGACTAATAGACTAATAATATAAACTGATAACTGCCCGAGGTTGATAACGGTAATAATTTTTTTTTCCTTTTTTTTTTGTCTACAAAGGTTAGAAGTTGAATCTTTATTAAATTTTATCCCTTCGAAGGTTAAGTTCAAAGGTCAAATACGAAGGTACGAATGATGACGACGAAACGACCGTTTTTTTTTTTTTTCATTTGAATATTTACCCAATTGATATAATCGAACGCCGTGCGTGTATGTGTGCGTGCATGCGTGATTTTAAATTTGTCCAGTACGGGAAAAAAAAATTAACAGTAAATTTCCATTATCCGTTATTAAATGGAAGGAAAAAAAAGGAAATTATTTTATTTTATTTTATTTTCTCCAGGGAGTCGGACATAATGGAAAAACAAAAAAAAAAGGTTCCCTTAACCTCGTTTTTATTTTTTAATTAATTGAAGGTAAAAAAAAAAAAAAAAAAAAAAATCATCAAAAAGTTTGAGGGTAGAAAATAAAAAAATAAAAAAAAATTTCTTTTTTTTTATTATTTTTATTTTTTACAAAAGCAGACGATATATAAATAATTTACGCGAGGATTTTTCCATTTCTCCTTCTTTCTCTCTCTCCCTTTCTCTTACTCTCTTTCTACTTTTCGCTTTTTTTTACTTCCTCCCACCTTTTTTTTTTTTTTTTAAAAAAAAAACTTTTTGACCGTCCGGCACGTGAATTTTTTTTTTCATAAATTCATTTTAAAATTTAATAAGTTGTATTAAGTTGGCACACCTGGAATTCAAAAAACGTTTCGATGAGTAAAATAAGCCAGAACTCTAAGGTTCACACTCGCGAAAGTGGAAATCCCACCTGAGGAAAATTCCGGTACTTACCCTTTTTTCCCTTCGAGAGTCAGTCACATCGCAGCTCCGTATTTTCCTTTTCTTGGATCAAGTACCCAGTTTCACCCCTTCGAACAAGGGTCGGTGCATTCCCAATGTTACGAAAAAGTGCTAGGTCATTTATCTCCCTATTTAGGTACAGGTCTGTTCTTGTTTGGACGATCTGAAATTGAACTCCGCCTCCCAGGATTTGAATCCACAACTCTCAACTCGGTGACTTTTGGGCCGACTTTTCCTCTTTTCAACCTGGCTACCTCGGGCTCCCACAAGGCATCCAAGTTGAAGATTTACCTCTAGCGGACGCACAGTTAAAGTGAAAAATCCAATCCTAGAATCCCAGCTCTTAAAACATCTATATCTAGGCTTCGAGTACCTGGATTACAGGAGTACACCACCACTTCCGGCTATTATGACGTCATCATATAATAATAAAATTATTTGAAATTAATTTTTTCCGTTCGCATCAATCAAAGTTTTTATACCGCAACGATTGTCGTCTGCTTGGATGAAATAATTTTTTTTTCTTAATTGTTTTTTCAAAGTACTCGCAAACGCGCACCCACGCACTCACGCACGTAATGACAATGAATTCATTCAATTTTATAAAAATAAACGAATCATCATGAAATTTTTTTAAAATTAAAAAAAAAAAAAAAGAGGAGGTTGATGATAAGAAAAGAATTTCAAAGAACAAAAAGATAAAGAGAGAGAGAGAGAGAGAGAGAGAGAGAGATAGAAAAAATAAAAACAAAGAAAAGAAGAAAAAAGAAGAATTGTTGTCGTGTAATAAGAAAAGAAAATTTTCATGACGTCAATTCAAATTCAAACTTTTTTCTTTTTTTTTCACGTTAATTAATTGATTAAAAAAAAGAAAAAAGAAAAAAAGATTTTTCCAAGCGGAAATTATTTCTCCAGATTTCATTCCGATTTTTTAATAATAATAATAATAAGAATAATTTATTTTAATCGTAGGAAACGTAGTTTTAATATTAACAATAATTGTTTTTATTTTTTAAAAAAAATTAAATTCATCGTTTGTATCTTTTTTTCTTTTTATCACCTCGTGTAGAATAAAAAGTGATTCAATCACGTACCTGAATTTTTCCGTTTCCTGTAAAAAAAAAAAAATAAATAAATAAATAAAGAATGAAAGAAAGAAAAAGAGGAAAAGAGGAAAAGAGAAAAAGGGGAAAAAAAATTTTTTGTTATTGAAATTCATTCCGTGTATTCAAAACATGAAAAATGATTTTGAAATTGTTTTAGATTTTACTCATTGAAAAAGTAAATATAAAGATCAAACGTGATTTTTTTTTCCTTTTTTCCTCCCCCCCTCCTCCTCTATGATAAGTTTAAATATTTTATTTGAAATTCAGGTGGCGGTGGAGGAGGAGGGGAATGTAATGGTAGTGATTGTAATGGCGGTGGTGACGTTGGTACAACTTTCTTGAGGATTCACAAGTGACACTCGAGGGACCAGACTCTTGTGTGCTTTACAAGAAGAAAATTACATTTGAAATTTGATCTTATTTTTTTTTTTTCCTTTTTCTCTCATAAACATATTTTTTCCTTTTTTTTATTATTAAATTTCCTTTTCTTTGTGGATAGGAAAGCAGAAGAGAGAGAGGAAGGAAGGGGGGGGTTTAAGTACTTTTTTTTCTGTTTTTTTCTACCACAATAAATTGAAACTATAATTTTTTTATTTCGCTATAACGGTTTCGTAAAAATTTAAAAAAAGAAAACGTATTCTATTTAAATTTTTATAGTCTATAAAATTATTTATAGCAAAAAAAAAATTTTAATTAATAATTTGACGATAGATGTCGTTTGATTTTTTAACCGGTTATGCGTAACAATAATAATAATTTTTATAAATCCCTCTTTTCTCTCTTTTTATTTTTTTCTTCCCCCCTCTCTCTTTTTCTTTTATTTAATTTTATTTCCCCCTCCCCTCCCTCCCTCTCTCTTTTCCACAATTAATTTGTTTTGGAACATTAATTTAATTTTATAGTTGAAAAACCGCATCGAATTTTTTTTTTTTGAAATTTTGATTCGTATTTTTCTCTCTCTCTCTCTCTCTTTCTATTCTATCATCATCATCATCATCTTAGGAAACTTTTCTTTTTTTTAATGACAATATTATTTGATAGGAGATTTTTTCCCAAAAAGCGGTGGCGGTAAGGAAAAAAAAAGAGAAAAAAATTTTTTCTTTCGCCATAAAATAAATACGTGGAACCACGACATTAAATTCAAAATGTGTCTTAATAATAAAGATGTGAAAGCGAGGATGGAATGTTAATGGGGATTAATTTAGTATCCCTACCTGAAAAGTAAAAAAAAAAAAAAAAAAAATGAAAAAAAAAGTTGACGGGAAATTCTTTTCTTCGTTCGTTCGTCCGTCCGTCCGCGTCCTTCTACTACTAACTACTCTGCCCACCCTCCCGACGAATCCCTTAAAAGGCCTTTTTCGAATTTATCGTTTATTGATGATGATGATGATGATGATGGTAAAAATATTTATTTTTATAAAAATCGAACAAGTAAAAAAAAAAGGAAAGAAAATTCTTGTGGAAAATTCTTTTTTTTAAACTGGGGAGAAAAATAGAAAATAAAGTAGTAGTAGATGGAAGTAGAGGTGAAGGTAGAGGAGAAGAAGTAAGAAGAAGAAGAAATGGAACAAAGATTTAAGATAAATTGGTTTATTTTAAACAATTTTCGAGGAATAAGTTTTTTTTTTTTTTTTTTGTAAAAACTTTATCGGATAGGTAGGTAGGTAGGTTGGTAGGTAAGTTCAAATTTGTTAATCCCGTCAATTTATGTTAAACAAAGTAGAATGAGTTAATATATTGGAAAAGTTATATAAACGGATTTTAAACGCGATTAACAAAAACAAACAAACATTTACGAGATTTTTTCCTTTTTTTTTCTATTTTTTTTTTTTTAAATTAATTCTGTAAAATAAAATAAAATAAAATTTAAAAAAAAAATATCATTTCCGTTTCCTTTTATAAGTAAAATTCCTTTTTTTATTGACATATGGATAGTAGTAACAGGTGTGCTCGAATAACCAATAACAATTATAAATGGCTTATACGGTTTCAAGGATTAAAAAGAAAACCACCTTGGCGGAATGTCCATATTTTTCCCTTTTATATGTCAATTTAATGAAAAACTAAAGGGGAGAAGAAAATAAAAAGGGAGAAAGAGAGAGAGAGAGAGAGAGATAGATATCGGAGGGTAAAATTTCAATAACTTCAATTCAATAAAAAAAAAAAAAAAAACTCAATAAAAATATTTATAAATAAAAAGAACAAAATTTTTTCTTTGCAAAATTTCTTTTCTTTCTTTTTTTTTTCAATTATTTATTTCAAAATTACTGCCACCCCCTTTACCATTATCAACCCACCCTTAATTGTTGACTCTTTCACACGTCAATCTTAACAATATTTTTTTTTTTTTTTATTAAGAAAAAGGGATGAAAAAAAGGAGAAAGAGAAAAAAAAAGGAGGTGAATAATTAAGTGACGTAGACGACGACAAATTTTCATCTCAAGGTGTTGTGCAAAAAAAATAAAAATTTATTTTTAAACCCTCCCTTTTCATCATTCCTCTTTAACCATCCCTTAATTTTAAAAACATGTCACCCGATTTTTTTTTATATAAAAAAAAAAAAAAAGAAAATTTACGAAATTAAATTTGTCGACTCGAAATAACAATAATAACCAATCACGTTGCGTCCCTCGCGATTTGATCATTTTGTCCCTCAATAACAATCCTCGACACGCTCCTGCGTAATTTTATTTCATTTATATTAACATTTTTATTAACTTTAACCTTCTCTCCCTCTTCCTCCTCTTCTCTCCCTCCGAAAAAAAAGAACTAAACTCCCACATTCTCGTTTATTCTTCTTTCTTTCATCCCTTAAATAAATTTTTCACCCTCCGAAAAGTTTGTTAACTTTACATTTTCTTTTACGTCTTTTTCGTCTTATCAAACGGGTCAGTTTCTTTTTAAGAAAGTTCAATAACCTTTTATCATTTCTCAAAACAAAAAAAAATTATAATTTCTTTTTCTCCGCGTTGTATTGAATTTTACGTAGTTAAGGAGTCCTTCTGGAATCACCTGGAAAAATATTTTGTGACTATAAATTTAAATTAACGACTGACATTTTCCAAAATAATAACCATCAAAATTTATGAATTAATTATTATTTGTAAATTTACGATGAAAGAAAGTTTTAAAATGTTTTTAAAGGAATACAAAAAAAAGGAGGAAAAGTGAAAGGAAATAATATAACCGGAAATGAAAAAAAAACGGTCATGAAAGGGATGAATAAATCCCTTGAGTTCTTAAAAGTGCATTTCCATGCTTTTTCGTCATGCACGTTGCATTTTTAAACAAAAAAAAAACATTTCGTTGAGGGTTTTTTTATCCCTATATACTTTTTTATTTTTTGCACGCGACACACGCAACAACAGCACAACAGCAACAGCAGCAGCAGGAGCAGCAGTAGAACAGAAAACGAAAATAAAAACGATTAAAAATACAAATTTTATTTTATTTTTTTCGAAGGGTGAATTTTTTTTTTTTTTTTTCTGTTAGAGTGTAAAGTAATGAAAAGAAAATAAAATCAGTTAACGTTGTGAATACTAATTAACTATTTCTTTGTAGCTGACAATTAAAATAAGAAGAAAATAAAAGGAAAAAAAAAGGAAGGAGTAAAAGGAAAGAAAAAAAAAACATGCTGACACTCACGACGAGAGAGTATCAAAAAGGGGAGAATTTTTTAAAGTGAGAAGCGAAAAATATAAAAGGGGAGGGGAGGGGGGAGGAGAGTTGAAAAACGCGAAAGATTTTTTTAATTTTCCTTTTTTTAATATTAAAATTTAAATTCCTTTTTTTTTTATAAATCAGGTTTTAACTTTTTTTTTTGCTCCTTTGAGAGCCGGAGGGAGAAAAAGGAAAAAAAGGAAAAA